TTTATTGAACACCTAAACGAAAAGTAATTTAATACCTTAGCCATTTCCTTTTTATCTTCATAAACATTTCCCTTATGACCTCTGAGACTCTATACAACCACCTTTTTCTTAAACTGTTATATTCTGAAAAACACCTTTCATTTCCGTATTCACGGCAATATTAAATCTCTTGAGCAAACCCTTTTAAACTCTCATTTGTAGTTTCCTAAATGCCATTCCCTTAAAAAACATGGATCCTGTTTTTTAATCACCTAACTGTATGTAGTGTTTTGTTTCTCCTTGTATTTTTTTTAATTGATATTAAGCCATTTAGGCTGTTGCTTTCTGTCTTTTAATGTCCCTAATCTTGTGATGAACCCTTTCTGGGCTTCAAGCAGAAACATTCATTTTGCTGCTATTCAATCTCTGCCAATTCATTATCTACCCAATGACATTTTTTAAAATTCACTTTTCTTCATAGTCTGCTTTCCTGAAATTGTAAACCTTTCAGACTATCTGTACAATTCCAAAATATACTCCAAACATACCATACTATAACCACAACTGTACAAGTATCTCATCCTTTTAATGTATTCTAACTTGCTGAACACATTATAATAGGGCAGACATATCCTCTGATATGTGCTTTGATTAAATTAGGAAAAAAGCAGCACATTATCTACCATTTCAGTTTCATTTGCTTTAAGAGTTAAGAGTGTTAAGAGTTAAAATCTCCCACGATAACCACTCCTACCTTTATCCATTCTTTGTTGATTACATGAATTTCGTGTAGTATAGCACACTATGCCTTTTGGATGTTACTTTAGCCTTGATCCTTTTAGGTTATGTTCCTGTGCCTGAAAGCTCTATACCTCTTCCATCTTTACCTCACTTGAATGTTGCACAACCAAAAATGCTGTATATGTCAACATAACTCTTAGCTCCATTTCAGTGATTCTAAATCTATCACGATTACCCATAACTCCTATTTTATTTTGATCCTAATATTCCAGGCATTTAGGTATATGCATTTAATCACGTGATCATTTACATTTTGTTTTGCTGGGAGTCTTTTTGTTTCCACTCGGTGTATCCATTCTGAATATTTTCTTTGGATTATAACCCGTTCCATTTTAGTTTACATTTTCACATTTCCTGTAGATCTTTATACTCAACAGGTGCCCATCTAATTCACAGCAACATTACAGATAGTCACATATAGTTTTTGACATAGAAACGATTCCAATGTGTAACAATGTTGAAGCCTTCTTAAGAACACCATACATTCAGCCATATATTATATTGGTTATATATGTAGAGTGTGGCCTACACTACTGTTAAAAGCCCCTATATCATCATTAACAACTACAACAACGAGAATGTTGCAAGTGCCTCAGCTCCAGGGAAGCTGTATACTGTTGTTGAGTCTTCGAGGTATAGCAAAGTTGTATTATTCTAGAGAATGACTGGTGTCTGAACTTCAGTTTCAGCAACGGTGTCATTCTGGCAGCTGCTGGTTTGAGCTTAAATGTCTTGGTTGTCTGTTCTCAGGTCCTGAAGTGGACAAAAGAATGTTATAATATAATAATGAAATAAGAGTACCAGTGGGCTGGTTTCCCATCCAAGGTGTACCCTGCCTTGCGTGCATTGCTTGCCAAAATAGGCTCTGGCTTCCCCACGACCCTGAATTGGAAGAAACCGTTAGAAAATTGATGGATGTTCCCACCTTACTCCAAAACAAGAGCTGCCACAGCCAAATAATATTTTTCAGGCTACACATCAAATGGTAGAATAATGTAGTTTGAAGTAGTTCAGGTGGGTAGCTGCATCAGCATGCGTAGGCTGCAAAAAAACAAGTAATAGGTTTATTCCATGCTGAAAATAGAAGACAGAAAACACGTTTCGGCCGTGGAGCCTTCTTCAGGTAGTTTTCACTTATACCACTCCAAGTTCGTAATAAGACCGAAAAGGTTCAGTTCCTTCAGCCTGTCAGTGTAGGACATTCCATTAAGTCCCAGAATGCATCTGGGTGCTCTTTTCTGGACTGATTCCAGAGCAGTAGTATTTTTTGTAATGTGGTGACCAAAACAATAAGCAATATTGTAAATGAGGCCTAAGTAGTGCATACTTCAATTTTAACATCCTTTGATTTGAATTTTACTCTTCTGACTGTTTTTTCACTTTGTAAGATGAAAATGATGTCAACAAACACCTGAGTCTCTTTCATAAATGACCTTTTGTATATTGTTTCCTGTTTTGTATTTATAGTTTATGGATTTGCATGCAGACAGCAACTGCATTTATCCATAGTAAATGTCATTTGCTATGCATCCTGAATTTTATCTAAACCTTTCAATTTCAATTTCAGTTTCAACAGTGTTGGCTAATATTTTGGTATAATCTGCACTCTAGGTTACTAACTGTAACAGAATTTAGATCATTGTTACAAATTAGGAAGAGCAGTGGTCCTCATACAGATCCGCTTGGGACTATACTAGTAATTTAATTATCCCAACACATTTTCTTTAATGCAAATTACATTTATTATAACTCATTAATTCATGTCTTTGCATTCTAGGAGTTAATGACAGCTTTTAATTTAATATTTTCCTGCCTACTTCTTTCCTTTCTTTATTTGGAGACCACAGATCAATGATATTTAGCTCCTGCAGCTCAAGGCTTTATTCTGCTAGCTAGAATGTTAGTTTCACAAAAGGAACTGCATAAACTGATGGAACATACATTGTATCAGTAATAGAATTTCACTCAATAAAGCACCAGGGACTGCAACAGGATAACTGATGACAAGCAGCCACACCACCAATTTACAAGAGATTAAAAGAGACAAAGATACTCTCATTTTGCATTTACAATCCATTATATGTTTTATTTTTTAAATACAAACTGCATTTAAACATGTGAAATAGGAGTCTCCAAAGATATAAATGGATACACAGGCCCTTTAAATGGAACATATGAGAATGCTTACAATTTTATGACTTTGTGTACCATTTCCATACACTTTTTACTTAAAATTGCTTCTTCTATAGTAAAGACTAGAGAAATGTGTGCCTTGTGTTTCTCCACACACAATCTACGAACTACAAAAAAGACAGTGGAACAGAGGGACTGATACACAAAGCAAACACACCTATTTTTTAACGATAACCTTTTCTTTGTGTATCATATTACACAAATCATCTTAGATTAGACCTGTGGGATCTTCCTTTGTACAGTAGCTCCTAGCAGTGACAGCTTTGCACTGTAGCAAATATTAAAAACAAACAATTCAAAAGCCTGTGGGAACCAATGGATTTTCCATTAAAATTTTCCAGGAAAGGATTATCAAATGGGATATTCCTTCCTGTCTTTGAAATAAAAAAAGAAACTGAACGAAATGAAACAAAATAATGTTTATTTACAGATTACCAAGACTGCAAGAGAAGAAAAAAGAAGAATCCATAGAGTAAAAGAGTTATGCAGTAAATAATTCAATGTATTACAGACCAATTCAATCATGGAATTCAAATTTAAATGTGGTTAATCTGAGCTCAGTTACAGAAATGCACAAGTGTTATGAAACAGTTTTCTGAAAAAGCAGAAAAACTGCAGGGGCCTCATTGCATAGTTTTGAATGGGATGTTTTTAATGATGCAATTTCTTTAATATTCAAAAGTAAATTCAAATAAGACCGAGTAATCACAATGTAAATTTGTATTTTTAACAGTGAGCAATATGTGCTATTTGAAATGTCTTTTAAGTCTAACCCTAAACGTATATGTGATATAGGCTCTGTGTTACGATCAGCTGAATGTGAAACAAAGAAAAAAGGAAAAACAAGTCATTAGCTGTGAGTTTGGAGATTCCATATAATTTTTCAGAAAATGATCTAATATTCCTTTCCACTCTGCTCCTACGTTTGCTTATATAGACAATATTCCAGTGATATCCAAGGTTGCACAAGAGTCTGCAATTTGAAAATAGCAGGTTTACTTCTAAATGAACAAACAAGGGTGGGGCTAGGTATTCTTGAAACCTTAAAATAAAGAAAATAAAACTTAGATATGAGGCACGACCAAATCATAAGGTATCATAAGAGTATTTTCTACTTGTGAACAAATTATACAAGTAGTTGAGTGTTTTTTTTCATGAAATGAATGCAATGTACTCCAGATATTAAACATCTTTGTTTCAAAGGCTCCTACTGTATATACTGTACTGCAGTAATTTATTTGAAGAGTGTTTTAAGTGGAATCTAATGCAATGCAAAAACAATAATATTCTAACACATCTTCGCTGATCATCCTATCACCAGAATGACAAAAGGTTCAGAGATTTATTCAGGGTAACATACTTCCTGGTAGGGGAGTCTTTTCCTATTTCCTAATCTGAAACATTTATTCCACATGAGTTCTTTAAAATGCAAACACAGATCTTTATGCAGAAAGGAATAATTATGTACATCACAACTTGTGTATTTTTTATTGGATGTTAAGATATATCAGCTGAATAAGATTTCATGTTAGTCAAAATTGCCCAAGATGTATGAGAAAAAAGCTTTGTACTTCTTGCACCTTAAATTGGCCAGACAGGCACATAGAGTAAATCCACATTCCAGTTCCATTTTTGGGAAACTTATCACTCATCTAGTTGACTGAAATAAATTATCTACATATAATAATGGTTTCATTGTCTGCAGGTCATTTTCTTTAAACTTAGCAGGGCTCAAGAATGAAATCTCTTACTAATGCCATGGTGTCATTGCTCCTAAGATACTCAGATACTCTCTGCAGAAGTTTATCTGAAAATAAATCCTGTGCATTTGTTTTGCTCTCTATAAAGAAAGAAATGAATAAATCCCTGTAATGGCCAATATCTCTACCACTGAAGTGTTATGTACATGTCTACTATACTAAAGATAAAGTGTAGTATTTCACTGACAGCAGGATGAGAAATCTTAGCCTAGATGCTGAAGGATTTGATAAAGTATTTTAAATGAAAATAAGACCTGAAAGAACTTAAACATTTGGTGAAATCCACCATTTAATTTCATATGATTTCCATAAAACAAAGCTTCAAAACTTTCACGTTAAACTTTAAGCTTCATGATGCTTGTTAGACAAAATAACACATACATACAAAGAATGTCTGAAAATGTGTGTTACAATTTTCTCCATTTAGCTTACAAACAAAAATATTAACTAGTATCATACAGATATGCATAGGCATAAATGTTATATTATTACAACAACTCTGCATATTCACACTTACCATGGTAAAAAATAAAATGTTTGTATATTAAAAGACAAATATCTAGTTTACCCTGACCTCATTGAGAGCTAAAATACAACTCTTCACACAGGAAAAAATCCTGAGTGTACAATCGCATTGAAGGCACTGTTCCCAGACACTTACAAGCAGCTTGCCCATGTCCAGGGTGGCATAATGGTCTGGAACTTTCTCCATTAGGGCTCTTTTCATTGTGACACCTTTGCTCTCTCCCTAGATAATATACTTCACACTATGGAGGAGTCCGCCAGGCTCTGTGTGACAATCCTGCTGGGCCACTAAAGCAAACAAACAGAAAATAATGGATTTAAACAATGAAAACAGAAACTCAAAATAGTCCAAGCACTTAAATACAAATGAAATGTCAAATTAATACAGGGTGAATAAACATGCTACAATAAGCAAAATCAAGTGTTTAAATAATGATGAAAACACAATTAAAAAGCAATAAGATTCTGATGTATAAGATTAAGAGATGCAATGTAGCAATTGCCCAAAAAATAATGTCCTGATTATTAACTCTCCTGCAATTTGGAACCTTGGACATTTGCAATTTTATGTCAGCCTCTGGTCTGCAGTTTTCAACTGGGTTTCCTTTCCTGCTATATTCTATTCTTCTCTGAGCAAAATGAAGAAATGGACAGCCTAGGTCATAGAAATAACAACCCTCAGTTGAAACTAGTTATTTTAGTTAAATAATTTCAATATTAACTATTTCATAGGACATATTAGCTATGTTTACTGAATACTAATACAGGCTAAGATATCCAACAGAAATGCAGATGTAAGTTTGTAATGGATTCTTCTTGAATCTTTATTTCCCTTTGCTGACATGAATCAATGTTCAATGAGTTTTTTAAAATATATTACTAGTTTAATAGTTTAATACTTTAATTCATGTTTTCTTTAATTATTTCAGCTAACTTAATGTTACATTTTTGAGTTTACAGTTAGATTTGAAATTAATGACACTAAAGTTCAATGAAGTATTAATTTTGTCAGCAGCTGTATATTGTCTGAAATAGATCAATTTCTTCTACAATAAATGAAGACAATGAAGAGACAAAAAATGGTCCTGGTTTGTTTGACCAGACAATAAACAATCTAGTTTAAAAAAAAGTTTTTCTTTCATTCAAGACATGTCTTGAGCTGGTTAGTCTAAGTACTGCAACGACAGAAGGTTTGTGATATTATGACAACATTAATAAGATTTTTAGTACCTTTTAAAGTATATTTACAGTATATTTTAGTTTGATAATACAATATAAACAACAAACTCTCTGTTCAACACTGTACTCAAAGCGAGGAGTTTGTATTACAGAAGAGCAGTTGGGATTTATAAGAATTTTCGATTAAACATCTTAATTTTATTGTGGATTAATGTGTGACTCTTCAAGCACTGGAACACAAAGTGTTTAATTGCAAGTGAGTTAATACAAAATAACAATAATTAACAGAAACATTGTAGAAAATAAAGGGTTAAAATACTGAAATATCAGAGCTTACATATGAGGCATGCATTCAAAAGAAAAATAAAAAAATGATTCTAAGGACAAAGTCTTCATTTTGCAGTTACAGACACCTGTGAGGGAATAGTATTTTGTACTCTAATAAACATCTGCCTGTTGCTCATCAGTCTTATGCACCTTCTCCACAGAACTATTCCATTCAAATGGATTTCAAGAAGAGTTTCAAGAAGAGAATCCAGAACCCACTGTTAAAATGTCTATCACAGATAAACACCCACAGGACTCCCATATCTGTTCAACAGATTCAAGCTTAACACAAAACCAACCCAAAAAGATAACAAGTTCTAAGTACTAATGCTTTATTTCAATTAACATCAACACCACTATCAAAGAAAACCTGAAAACAAATAACCAAACAAATACATAATGTCTGAGAAGGTACTGTACGATGATATTTTCAGAGGAAATTAAAAAATGTGAAATTGCAAGAAAAGTTTGCAGAAAAAGTATATTGCCTGTAAAAGCACAGGACTCTGTACTCATGAGTTCTTAAAAGCAGCTTTAAAACATACTGTGCACTCTATTATACTCTGTAAAAGTCATTAAATGAAATAATTTGGTGTAAAATCCACTGAATATAACAAAGCCAAAGCACACACACTTTGAGAATTAGTACTGTATGTCACACAAATATAAATAGAACTCACCCTTTAAAAGTAATCCTGAATCCATTTATAACAAACGCAAGCTTGATTCCACAACTCTTTAGAATTAGCTCTGACTTTCTGAAGCAGATACGGTACCACCGCATGTATTCAAATAGCTTAATTTTTGTTTTTGAGGAAATTTATTTTCTGCCACAAACCCTCGAACAAGCACAAAGACCAACCAAAGGTGAATTTTTTTAATTCCAAATCAGCATTGAAAGAATGACATTTTTTTGTTTTTGGAATTGTACTTAAAGCAATGGCTTTTCAAATTCAAGTTACCCTGTCAATTTTGTGCTGTGCAAGCATTTTTATTTCAGCTATTCAGTATGTGTTACATGCTGGGGGGTACACTACTGACTATGAGGCAGGTTATAAAGGTAAGGTACAGCTACTAAGTAGTACTTGTTAAAGCGTACTCTGTAAATACCACTTAGAGGCAAGACTCGGCCTGAAGAGAAGGGGGAGATAAGAAAGCCTGAGGGTGTTCGGGATTCTGCAGCAAGACAGTGGAGGTCCACACTAAGTAGATCCATTAGCTGCACCTTGCCGTGCCTCACTGAGGACATAGAAGGTTATACTACTAGTAAACCGTCTCAGGATTATGTAAAACATATGTTGCCACTGTTACTCACGCAGAAACAAATGAAACCAGCTGATTTTGTCTGCAGCACATCTCTGTAACAAGATCCCTGGTGTATTGACAGTGACACAGCCAACCTAACTGTGCGCGGCAAGCTTGGGCCATTAAAAATACATCAAGGTACATGCATATATTATATTTACACAGAGCATGATATGCAGTTTGAGTTTAAGAGTGGAAATTGGTTGAGAAATGGGCAAGTGGGAAATAACTGCATTTCCTATGAATCACAGGTAGGAACAGATAAAAAGAAAATCCCAATTTCTGGCAGTCTAGTACAGTGTTATGACAGTAGGAGCCTTTGCTACTGTGCCAAGCTGAAATAGGTATAAACAGTGGAACAGAGACATATGGTAACAGCATGGAAGGATGCTGATGGGTTAGAGTACAGACTGTACGTTCTTACAGATTTCAAATGGAGCTTTAGAGCATTACCCTACGCACAAAACCACCAAATAACTAAGTTAATTATTGGCCTTAGATTTTATGAACCATGCTAGTAATAAAGATATATTGCAAGGGAAAAAGAGGCACTGCTGTCACATAACAGCACACATTTTGTTGCGTAATTGTTACCAATCTCTCATTATTCAAAGAACAACCTTTTCTATAACATTAGCATAATGAATGGAAATGGACCACCAACCACATCAAATAAAACAAAGCATACCACTCAGTGACAGATGAAGTATGTGTTATAATCTTTTTAGAATTTCATGGAACATTTGAACACCTGTCTGATGTAGCCATCTGGGATAACCCCAGAAAAGGAAACCCAATCCAATAGCCTCAGGCCTGCAAAATTTCTCTGTTCCCATTCCAATAGAATTTAAGTCACTGAACAATATAATCAGAACTGTCACAGCCACTGAAAGCATGTGAATTCATTGCCTCTCACTGCTTACTGCTTACTGCTTTTAGCACACAGTGGTTCTAATCCCTTATTAAATAACAACAACCAACACTTTCCCCAGCCCTCTGCCATTGTTGGTACCCATTTCAGAGATCCTACTAAATGACCTCCAAACATTCTTAACAGAACACTACACCGCGCAATAAGAATTGTAGAGCAGCAATCCAAACCTTTACCACCCATCTGCACTCCCAACCACAGTACAATGGTGTTTATATGGAATTTTATGGAATTTTGGTTGTGGTGACACCAGCCGTTTGTATCAGTTTCTGCAGCAAAACATAAAAGAGTTATGATTGAGGAAGAGTACTAGGCAAGAACAAGGGATCTATTTGTGTAGTAGTGCACAAGGATGAGAAAACATATTAACATAAGAAAACATAAAACAAAACCACATCTGGACCTTTGACATGTTGAGATTATCTGTTGATTCCAACAGAACTGAGGTTGAATAGATCATTTTGATAGTTACACATCATATTTGCTATGCTGACATCAAGGGTGTGTCCATGGGACTCACTGGTAACACCATCTTTAACTGTCTTCAGGCGAGATACCACTGTGAATGAAGCATGGTAGATGGGAAAATACCCTCCCTGCAAGAACAACCTGGGTCTGCCTACGAGCCTCTTGCTCCAGTGTTGAGAGACCAGACACAAGAGAGGAAGGCTGGATCCTCAGGGCTGTCCCTGTGGGTCAGTAAAAGCTGTAGAGAGCATTTCAGAACACAGAATGCAAAACATGCAGAATCCTGTAACCCAGAAAACATTTGGTACTTATGCCTTGCTCTGAGTTGGATGGTAAATTTCCAAAGGCAACTTCAAGCAAAGATGTATAAAATGCTTGAAAAGGGCAGATTTGTGTATAGACTTTGAAACTGATTTAATGCTGTCCTTAAAAAGCAAAAAATAAACATTGGTGAGAGCATACTGTAGGCTAGTTCTGTAAACAGATGGGACAAAAATGTTTCTTGAATTTGGTTACCACAAACATGAGAAATAGCACAGGTTTCCTTTCTTGGCCTTACCCAAATTATTACAACAGAAGGTACTTAAAAAAAAAGTTCCACACTGGAATTCCATTCAGTGAGCTCATACAATTAAAGACATATCATAAAAATATACAACATACAGATGCAGCCATTCAAAATGGGTGGGGTATTTCGCGGCATACCCCGGTGGGCGTGTCGCGGTTAATCGCGTCATTTGACGTCATGCTGGAAACTATCCGGC